GGGAGGGGGGGGAGGGCTGGGTGGCAGCGGGTGGCTGGCTCGAGCCGTGCCAGGTGCAGGGTCTGTTAGCTGGGTGCTGGCCAGCCTGTGCCCCTTTAAGAGGTCCGGGGCCGGAAGGGGGGCAATAGAGTTTCCCTGGTGTTGGCCAGAGTGGCCACCAGGGAAAGCTGGGGAGGGCTAGCCTCCCACTAGTTTGAATGAAGGGGCTACACACCCCTTAATTCGAACTAGTAAGTTCGAACTAGGCTTAGTCCTCGTGGAATGAGGTTTACCTAGTTCGAACTATGCGCTCCGCTAGTTCGAATTAAGTTCGAACTAGCGGAGCGCTAGTGTAGCGCCTATCAAAGTTAATTCGAACTAACGTCCATTAGTTCGAATTAACTTTGTAGTGTAGACATATCCTCAGTGTTTAACATCTCTTTACTGTGAAAATTGGCTGTTAATTCCTACTTCTGTTTTCTATTTTTTAACCAGTCACTATTTCATGAGAGGACCTTCATTCTTATCCCATGACTGTTCTTTATTATAGCTTGAACCAGTTCTCCTGGTACTGAAGTTAGATTTCCTGGCCTGTAATTGTCAAGATTGCCTCTGAAGCCTTTTTTTTAAAAAATAGGTGCTACATTAGTTATCCTCAGTCACCTGATACATAGGCTGATTTAAGCAATAAGATACATGCCGTAGTTTGTAGCTCTGCAATTGGGTAATACCACCTGGTTCTGGTGATTTACTTCTGTTACATTTATTGGTTTATTTCAAAACCTCACCTGCTGGCACCTCTGTCTGGGGAAGGTTCCTTTGCTTTGTCACTTGAAAAAAACAACTCAAGTATGGGAATCCCCTTTCTTCAGTGAGGATCAATGCAGTGAATTAATTTAGCTTCTCCACAACAATCTTTTCTTCCTTGATTGTGCTTTCATCCAGAGGCCCCACGGATTGTTTTGATTCTAATGAACTTTAAAAAATTCCTTTTGGTTTTTCTATCTTTTGCTAGTTGTTCTTCAGTGTTTTTTTTTTTTGCCTACTTAATTATACTTTCATCAGTGGCTAATAGTCAGAATGGGTAGGAGTGGTGTTCCTGCCCTCTGTTTGTCAGGGGCTGGAGATGACAGAAGAGGGGTCACATGGGGATTATCTGGTCTGTTCACTCCCTCTGAGACACCTGGCACTGGCCACTGTTGGCAAACAGGATACTGGGCTTGATGGACCTTTGGTCTCACTCAGTATGGCCATTCTTATGTTCTTATACATTTGACTTGCCAACGTTTGTGTTCCTTTCTGTTTTCCTCAGTAGAATTTCACATCCAGTTTTTTAAATGTGTCTTTTGTCTCCAACGGTCTCTCTTACTCTGTGGTTCAGTGGTAGGCAACCTGAGGC